CTGACGGTCCGGATATATGACTCCAAATCCATCAACAGACATTCGTTAGCGCGGCCACGAGGCGCGGCCACGAGGCGCGGCCAAGTTCCCGGCCAAGGCGGTGCGTCGTGAAACGACGTGGACTAAACCTTGCCACGGATTTAACCCCCTACTCCCACCACCAGTAACTCTTAGCTGAACTACAAAAGCACGTCAACATTTACTGCACTCTCATTTTCTCTGAATATGGCTTCTTATACAATATTGAAAGCTCAGACAAGTAGTAATGCTGTTTCAGTAATCGCGCCTTCATTATTTTTGCAATAAGGATTACTTCCAACGCTTCCATTCATGAGAACTGGTGTCCGTTTATTTGGTTTAGACCAATAAGAAAAACCAGATTCTGTGGGTTACTCAGCTAACCGAACCGAAATTAGGTTTCGCATTTTCGGGGTTACCGACAGTTTGCCGTAATATTTCCACATTAATCTGCTCTTTTAATGTCATATTTTGATTGTCAAAGGCAACAATCAAGAAGGATGTAAACAGATAAAAAACTAAAAACGGCCGTATTTGATCAGCTTAAGCCGCCAAGTAGTACCAGACATCAAGATGCAAATTATCGTCGCAATGATATGCCGACAACCAAACAAAGGTCTCCGGTAGGGATCCAGTTGTCGCGAAACCGGTAGGGATTGCCAATATGTCTCTCTAGACAGGAAATGGGAGCAAAAACCGAGAGCACTACAGGTGGATTTGCACCAAATTTTCGGAGAATTAAGACTAATTTAAAGGTTAAGATTTAGGTTAATGTATGGATTAAGATTGTGGCTCAGGTTTAATGTTAGGGTACGAACATGGGAACTGAGCACAAGTCGACGGGAGGTTCATATTTCCGTCTCTTTTGCAGAGGACAATATAAGGACTTCCGTACCACTACAAGCAAACACTCGAGTCCCAGGGAGTAATTGAGACAACACAGAAATGCTCACTGAGCCAAGAATTTTACTGGCCTGAAATTTTGAAATATGTCGCGAATCTACCATCACAGACAATGGCAGAAACGCGTAATTCACACACAGAGCCATAATCACACCAAAATACACCTCGGGTGACGAAAGTTCAATTGGCCATGATTTGCACGCCGGCCACTGAGCATTTAGCGCAAAAGCGGACAACCAGCCTTGATAAGAGTGGCGGAGCCGTTAATTGTCATGAGTATGCGGTAGCTTAGCGACGGTATCGTATCCATACTGCAGCTCACAGTGTATGAATAATCTGTTTTGATTCTGTTTCCAAGGTGCAGCCGATGCCGACCCATACAGCGTCCTCAGAACTGCTTGTTTGGCAATATTACGCAATGCTATCAGCACAGGCAAATCATAGGAGGTTCTTCGGCACCGGATCAGCAGACTGCCGATAATATATTAAGGGAGAGCGTAAAGGATTTTTTGATTGCCAGCCTTGCAGCCTGAGCAAAATTATTGATTTGATTTAATCGCCTGACACCTTTTGACGATGCAGAGAAATGAAATAAGTTCGCCTGTTTAAGCAACTCTTTTTTACATGCGATTACCAGCGGCGACTAGAAATGTTCTCCACGAAGGTGCTACCGTGCATTTATATCTGTGAGAGTGTTGTCAACGCCTGTTATCCTGCAAGATGAAACCTAAATTCTCAATCGCTTTTCCGAGTAGTAAAGAATATTCATTGAGCGACACACTCCCACGGCACTACCTATACGCCAGGTACAACATCGTTTACATTTATCCCAATTTATTATGCAATTTGTGACACGAATGAATGCATATCTGCCCTTAGGCGGGGGACATACAGCTTGGAGACTGACACACCTAAACGCAACTACAACGGCAGATCAGTTTCAAAGTTATTCGAAAATTCAAAAACAGTTTTCAAGCATACATATTTACTTCATTCGGGTAGAAAATGTAAAGACGACATGAATTGCTACCAAATTAACCCAAGAAGAACGTTTTAGTTTCCATCTTTTTTAAGAAAATACATCCAAATTTTCTACGGGCAGCGAACATCAAGATGAAATAGTGCATAGCACTTAGGCTGTTAATGTTCATCGAATGCGGTTTGGGCAGACGACCCAAAAGACGTGCATTCAAAAGCTAGCATACTGGCATATCTGAAATATTCTGCGATTGTACCACGTGGTTACCAATATTCCAAACACTTCACGATCAACGAATATCCTGGCAGTTTCGTTGAAAAATGTAAACGTGAAGCCAGCGGAAGAAAACCGACGGGCAGCTAAACCAAAGTCCTGGTGAGCAGAACCTTGTACAGCTGGTTTGTCTGGACTTCGCTAGACTGGTGAGCGAATTCGGGAGTTAAATCACTCACAGACAGGAAGCGACAATCCGCGGGCAACTCCACACTGAACATCCGGTGTAATTTACCGGGTAGACTTTCTTTGTTGTTAAGCCAATTATGTTGGAGAAGCCAACGGGCGGGTTCTCACGAGATGGCACGAGCTCACCGTGTGCCGGAAGAATAAACTTGCCTTGCTAGCGCACAGATTGACTTCGAAAGCGTGAGAATATTGAGTCAGTCGGACGACCAAATTTCACACCTGCTGCAGAAAGCATAGCACTCGACGAGGATTCTATTTATAAGCATGTCGATCTGTCAACTGCATGTCAGGCTTTGCGCGTACAAATCAATGACACTGCTGAAGGTCATTGCCAGCCGAGATAAGCTTAATATGCAATGAGTTGTAATTTTTTATCGCTTGACGATGGGCTCGCGTGAGCGTTCGAGACATCGGGCAAATAAATAACTGGTCCCAGAGAATTCCTTCCCGTCTTCTGTATTCCAAACTCAACAACCAATTACGTATTCTTAATGAATAACGCATTACACCACTGTGGTTAACGTTTGATGAGATCATTCAAAACCTATATTTATATATCTCAATCTAGCCCATATTTTAAACGAATAAACGTATTCTCTTCTAGTTGGCAGTGTGACAAAATAGGCCAGTCAATATTTGGTTCATACATACGATGAAGCCTATGCATCAACCGACCAAAGCATTATTCACGCGAGGTAACGCGTATCAAATAAGCCTGCTTTGGCCAACTGCACGGATAAATCCCCTGCCACCAGAACCCGCGCCCTCCGAAACCACTTCACAAGAAGCCATAGAGAGTAGACAAACGCTAGCCGACCGTGAGGGCATCTCTTGCCCTTCTTCCCTGCTCGCCGGACCCAACGTTCTCACACGCATGAGACGAGGGAGCACCGAGATTACTAATTACACACCCCCTACCCCGAGGACCATTCAAACATTGCATATAACTGCTCATTTTAATCGATGCAATTGTACTGTCCTGATGACGAATTGCTGAAAACATGTGTTTGCTAGTATGACTTCTCAATCATAAAATGGGAATATTAACTGAATATTTGCATTTTTACTTACGTGGTGGCGTTGGAGGCTCACCGGTACCGATAGTGCTTCGCTCCAGCCGGAGTATTTCGCGCAAACGTTTTACCTCCTCTTTCAGCTCCCGAATCATGCGAGCGTTCGGGTCCTCATTGATGACCGCCTTGCAGACAATCTGCTTAGCTCGATCCGCGTAGCGCAGCGTGGACAGGGTCTCATCATAGTTGATATCCGCCGGCGAGAGGGTCGCGAGCATCATAGTCTGCGAATTACCGCCTGCGGGAGGGGGGGGAGCCGGGAGTTAGTGCCGAGGCAAAGGATAGTATAAGGTGGAAAAAAGGTGCATTACTTGAAAATACCTTTGGCAAACATGTTTTCGGCAATTCACTGTCGAGCCGGTAAGATTGTGTGGATAAAAAGGAGAGGAGAGTTAGACAAGGTTCATAAATGTGTTCTGAGTAAGATTCATCGTTTTCACACTACCCTCATGATGACATCGAGATGAAGAGGTCATTGTACTGAGTGAGGGCGGGGGAAGGGGTGAATCGCAAAGGCTGTATTGATCAGGCGTCGAGGAGGCAGAGTGAAAATCACTGCCACGTGTACGGAGTGGATAACTGTCACCTATGACCAACACTCAAAACCTGCCCAATTTTCCCTCTTCCTCCAGTCTAATGACGTCTATATGCGAATCTCGACATGCAGGTGGTGTGAAAACCTTGTCCAACTTTCCTTTATTCATTATAAATACAATTGTACAGACCCAATGATGAATGGCCGTAGACATATGTTTGTTAAATATACCTTGCAAGTTAAATGTGGGAATCTTTGCAGAAGTGCATAAATTTGTAAAGTTTAATGCAAATGTCTCTACGCGCGATATTTTGCAAACTAATTGAAAAACTGGAAGGCTTTCAGTTTTAAAGGGTTTGCAGATCCTAGGGGCTGGATCGAAAGCGACCAAGTCCGCCTTTACCCAATCTGCGCTTCAAATGCACTTTCCAGAAACGAATCAAAAAGATGTGGAAGGTGAATTAAGTCACGGGGAATTAATAAATGAATAAATTCGAAGCAATGCACAGTAGGGTCTATAATGTGCATAACGGAGAGGATCCGTTTATTATTTTCAATATCATATAGAGAAGACACGGCATCTGGCCCGGAAGGTCATTTTCCCTTAGATCACTAACATAATCCTGCTCCGACGAGCTGGATCCCGGATTTAAAGCTCAAAGGTACAAAGGCACTCAGTATCTTGTAAAGTTACATCCTCTTGTTTGAGTATGCTTTCATCCATGATGATGATAATAATAACACACGTGTTCACAATAGAATAGCTGAATTTGGCGATAAATAGTTGCATAAAGAATACTAATCCCATCCAGTAGTGAAATGCACTACACAAAGGTGGCCTTCTGCCACCAGTCATAACAGACTCGGTAAACTATAGCCGGCGAAGACCGAAAAAGGCAAGGCAGCTTGAAATAGCAGGTGTTTCGGTCACATTGATGTCATCGTCAGTTTGACTAACAGTTGCATTCGCACGCCTACCAACGTTCTATATCCTTCCATCACACGGTTTGCCCGGGCGTGTTACTGGCTGATAAAAGACCAATACCCCCGAAATAGCCCTTTTCTCTGCGTTCCGTCAGTTCCTTTCCGTTCCGAGTGTTATTTTCGCTAAACTATATGAGCCTGCTAATGCTCATAGGGAACCATTTATGAGTGGTTGTAAAAGAATCAAAATATTGTGTTAGTCAATGGGATATGAATGTTGTCGCTACCACCAAAAATAGCCATATTCCTCGTGGAGTTCACGTTAAATATAAGGCTGGGGGCGAAGATTGTAGCTGGGACTATAATAAGTTTTCGCCTAAGCAGTGCTTATTACACCTCGCGATATGATGGTATCATCTTTGCATTTGACGTCCGGTAATTGCCCCTGAGAGTAGGAATCTAGGTGGGCATTTCTAGGAAATTGACTACCTGAGGACCTAGCTATCTTTTTGCTTTCGTGTTTACTTTTACTTCACGGAACAGAACTTCCGAGGAGAATTTGCCAGCCAACTTCTAACAATCTACGTTGAATGAATGAAAAAGTTCGCGTTCCAGGTATCCGCATGGATAAGGAAGAAGACGAGTCGGGCACCGGATCCAGTGCTCGACTCCTCTTCTTTCTTATTCAACCAACATTGAAAACCGACAATCAGTCAGGTATGCATCAGTCGCCGTAGGTTTTACCTTAAAGACGTTAGCAGAATTTGTGCTATTGTCTGGGAATTCAGAAGGTTGTATGACAGTTTATGGAAATCAGCTGAATTAGAAATTACGAAGTTTCTCTGTCTCAGCGTCCCTAGCGAACTAGATAATTTTAGACCTTCCAACTAAGGCGCCAAATTTGCTACAATATGTGACATCGGTCATGAGGTGGCTGGGTGGTACGCTATACATGTGATTTTGTATGTTCTGCATATGTTCTTTTCATTTAAGAGCCTTTCATATCATAACGCTTTAACTGGTCAGGTTTTTTTAAAAACAAGACAACGGATTTTGCATCAGCGGGTATGAGAAATAGCAGTGAGTTTTAAGAAAATAGATGGGAATTACAATTTAAAAGTTCATCATTTAGAAAAAAACATGATATTTTGTGGCTTCAGATATTGTTATAAGTTTCTTCAACACTACTTTGTTTATCTCAGCGAGAATAAAAAGGCGTACGAGAACCGAAGTTATCTTCTGTCACGTAGTGTTACTATTATGTTCTGGAATTTTCTCACGGACGCCGATTTTGATTGCGTGGAAATTGGCGGCCAAAGGGCTGCCGCGTAAGTTACGAGCTAGTATTTGCTACATAAACTAGTTCAGTCTCTGGAGGTTATTAATAATGAAATAAGCGCAATCAGCGCAATTTACGGGCAACCCATACGGCCATGCTTTGTCGTCGTACACTCAACCTATGCTCATTTGACCGTTTAGACCATTCAGAGGAGACACTTCTCAAAATCCTGTTTGCGCATAATTGGAACAAACGTGAAGGAATACGGCCTCCACCAACAAAAGACTAACACAGTGCATTTTAAATTGGAAAAATAAATGAAACAATGCCCTCGAACCGAGTTGTGGAAGAACATTTACTAACCTTTATATGGCTTTAGCTTAAGACAAGCCTTAAAATTGAGCACACATGATATGAGAAAAGCATTCAATGAGAACGCGCTGTGTTGACAAGAATTTTTAAAAACTTTCGAGGCCTGACTATTTGACGCTCAGTATTGGGTAAGATAAATGGCAAAAGATTTCCCCGACATTATAAAATATGCCTTTGGTTACAAGGTCATTCTCCGACGTCAAATGAGTACCAATAAGTCCCAGGATAATGCCTCTGTTCATGGCCCGAAGGAGGTTATGAAGCTTACGCAGTCGACATAACTGTTAGCACCTTCTTAAGAGATTTTATGTTCCTGCCAACAGCCCGTGCCTGGTTCTGTCTGATACGTCTTTATAATTACCAAAAAAGTGAAAAGGGCAAACTTTTCGCACCAAGAGCAGGATGTCTATTGAATACTTATACAGACAGAGTTGTTAGTTGTTTACAATCGCCCAATTTACAGATTATTTGCATGCAAAAGGGCGGCAAAAGATATTACTGCGTTGCATGTTATCACGTTTTAGTATTTATTTCAATAATCTTCATTCTCCCTCTCTCCTTTCAAGTATGGTTATCCTGAAACAAGGGCCTGTCATAGATCTGTTTGGGATTTTACAGTGGATTCCTTAAGGCAATAGAACTGATTTGAATGCGGATTTAGCGGCCTTTGCTTTGCAAGTGTTTTGTCCAAATGTAGTTATATGCATGGCGATAAATCGCAAACTAAATGTTTGGCCGTGTTTTTATAAAATCAACAATCAGATCTGCAAGCTATAAGGAACAAGTGAGCAGGATGATCAACGTTTCTATTAACCAAGAAACGCATTTAGTTCTCCGCGTCTTCTTGTGGTTCGACGCTGTCCACACTCCCTATGTACATAATACGACTGTATAAAAATAGTTCGTGTCTCGGATGGTGCGCAACTTTGGATGACAGGTGATTTTTGACAGTCCTACTTATTTACCGGAGGTAAACGCTCGTCCGGGTGTCTTATACATCAGCCTTGATGAAGCTTAGGACGGGTGTAAGCTCATATTCCCATTTGTTATGCTTGTTGCTATAATAGGATGCATGTCAACTATTGATACAAGTATAGGAATATATTACTAGAATATACTGTCCGCTGGTCTTAGTAAGTATGATTATTAGAATTAGTACTTGCAGCAGTGACATATTACCTCTAGCAACAGTATCCTATCAGCGTCATTTTCTGACTAATAATAAAGCCAGAAATTGTACCAGTAATACTATCACTCAGCTTAGTAAAATGTGACACAGTTTTTGGTAGACAGAGGCGAGAGGGCGGAAATCAAGAGGTGCACACGTCTTGATGAGATTGAGGGAATATGAGCTCAGCGCTGAAGTTAATCAGCGCCACTTCTGACACATGTTAGCGTCAATGTTACTACCAGTACTACTAACGCACAGCTACATTGCTTGCTGGTAGTAGTGGTAGAAATAAGAGTAGCCGTATCCGTCTCGGCTCCTTGAGCCTGTCCTGACACCTACTGAAGTTAAGTGAGGATAGATGGTGTGGTAGTAACCGGACAAAGTCTACTGTCACTTAATACTAAGTTAGGCAGTGTTTTCTGGCTTGAATTGGGGAAAGCGGCCAGTGCCGGATTTAATCTGGTCTTCCTGACCCATGGCGAAGGCGAGGAGTGCGGTTGGCGCTAACTACATCTGCTATCACTTTAAACTACGCCCTGTACCCAGTCACCATCACTGGGCTAACACGTTGGTGCACATGGTGGATTTCATCAAAATCGATGGTCGAACAATCGCTTGGGGTTGGGTATGACTGGCTGATGACGGTTAACGGATCTGAAGTGTCCATTTAATCTCTCTTTTCTTTGCCAGCAATGTGTATCCGCCTAAACTGCCAGCCACTGTGAGGCCGCTGGCGTGGTTTGTAAACGAGTCCCCAGACAGAATGGGACGAGTGAGGTCTGTTAGCGATCAGCAAATTTTCCTCAAAGAATAAAAAAACACAATTTTAGTACAGTCCCTCACTGTAATAAATTACACAAGCTTGAGTCCATAACAACGCAGACCATAGTGGCTCCCTCATTAAAAAAACTTACATGGGATGCAAGCCAACCCATTCTGATAAAAAAATGGACCATCTTGCGTACGTGCTAAGGGTAAACGAGCTACCTGGCAGTGGTTCATAGGGGCGTTCGCGACTCATTGATGAACGTTCACCTAACCGTCAACGGGACTCATCTCTCCCGCTCTGTCCTGGGTCTCGTCAGAGGCCCTAATGGCAGTCACAGCTGATAGTATAGGTAGACATTATTGTTGGCAAAGACAAAGGGGACTTCAGTGGCCATTTCTGGCTTATAAGTCATCGTCGGCCAGTCGTACCCAGACCTAAGTCGTGCTCTACTTGAGGCTCGAACTCGTGACCTCTTTGATCACAGTCGAACGCCCTTACCATTGAGCCACACTCGTTGATGATCCTTCACCCGACCGCCAGCGGAAGTTATCTTTCCTGCTCTGCCAGAAATGGCCATTCCAGCCTCCCTTGTCTTCGAGGCAATAACATTCGCCTTGACTACCAGCTTCTACGGCTGCTGTCAGGGCCTCTGCCGAGACCCTAGGCAGGGCGGGACAGATGAGTTCCGTTAGCGGTCGGATGAACGTTCATCAATGAGTGTTCAACTAAGTGTTGCCAAACTGTCTTATCGACATTTTACACGGTTCTCGATAATTGTGGGCGTGGCACCAGCTTTTAATCAAAGTGTTGCCAGCTAAGTGCTCACTTTTGAGTGTTGGGGAATATTGAAGTTCGTTAATTAACGCTCGCCTGACCGCTGACGACTACCAAACTGACAAACTGAAAATTGATAACTGTTCAAACTAAGGACTTGGGTATGCGCAGACGTCCTAGTTTTATTGTCATGTAGGTCGTAGTTATTCGTAATATCTTATGACAACAGTTTCCGCACATGTTTTCCCACACCTTAAGACCCTGAACATGACGTGTGTTAATGTCCATGAAAACTAATGCAGATGTCAAAACCATAAGCCTTTCAAGAAAGATCAAATAACCACATAGTAATGTCATTTAACATACAAAAAACCACATGCATTTCTTACCAAGGTTTTCGCGCAGCAACCATGTGAGTACAGAGTCTCGGTAGGGAATAAAGTCGTTCTTCTTTTTCTTCGAAGTCTAGGACATAAAGGAAACATTTTAAGTTGTTGCCTCTGTCGCTTGGGAAAACAGGATCATCGTGAGAGCCCTCCAAATAATTACTCTTGAAGACGCTAACACAAGCCCTTTCACTTCCCTGACTGACGCCAGGTGACGATCGCATATCGCCCCGCCCCTAGTGACAGTCGTTCATTCCGTGCAAGTGACGGTAATCATCACTCCACGTACCCGACCCATGACCGACGCTCACAACCTATCGGAATTTCCTCCCCCCTTCCACCCCCCAGCACCGAGAGCTCTACATATTGATCTCGCCGTGCAGGAGACGCGAAAACGATGAGTTGCAATCAAAGGACCCTTTTTAATACTGCCCAACCGTACGATTTTCATTACCTCTACAATTGTACTGGCCTGATGATTAATTGCCGACTTCCAAAGTGAATACTTTGACTCATCCAAAAGTTCTTTTCTTTTAAACGCCATCTTATTATCTTCTTTAAGAGTTGGCTAACTTTCTGTCTTCATAACAAATGGTTCTCTCTAACTTCTTTTGTATGTACTACTTTTTTTCTTTTGCTGGTGTGTATTCAAGATTGCAACCTCCAAGTTCAACTACTTTTTCATTAGAAATCCCGTTGCTGGCGCGTTTACTGTCCCGCTAATCTAAATCAAGTTTTTACTGTTCATGGCCGAAGAATTCGAGGCAACCGTTGATCCTATCATTTCTTGCATATTTCAGAGGACAAAGTGCCGAATCTTCGTCTTTTTTATTTAGATTATTGGGAAGTATGTCTGTAGTGTACATCATGACTGTTTTACAAGAGCGACATCCCCTCTTGTAAACCTGGCCTACCTACCAAACAAAACGTTGACGAAACCGAACTTAGGCAGCCATTGCATTTCTTAAAATTGCTATTTATTGGGTAAATCATAGTACTTTTCATGTATTCTCGTTGGCCACCTATTCAGGGATGTTCTGTCCCCCTTTCTAAATGTTCTTGGATTAAAAAATAGGTTATCTTTAATCTAAACCGTTGTTATATATAATTATTTAGGTTTTAAACGATTATCGGTTTCTGACCAGAGCTTTTACGTCTTAGTAAATCGAAAACCTCAAATATATTCAGATTCAGCAAACTGAGCATAGGTATTTAACAATATTGTATTCCGTAAAATAGTCTCCTATTCCGCCTTATTTTCCTTCTGTTGCGTTGACATCAAGTAGCTTATGCAGAATAACTGCATACTATCAACAAGTTGCCAACAGTCAGACAATAGCAGACACCTACTGTCAGAACCTGTGCTGTCCGTATCGTAAAACATATAAGTAGTTTTCGGTTCTCATGGCCATTTCGAAGTTTTACGAGAAACGATCATAGTCTTCGAGTGTTTTGGCAGGGATTTGGTCGATGGACGACATATTTGTGCAGAGCTGTTTGCGCAGGGGTTAACACAGGGACGTAACACCATTAGATGCATTTTAACCAATCAGCACTTACCGCCATTTCGGCTAGGCAGGCAATGACTTTGCCAAGTGTTGTCAGCGAACGATTAATATTCGCACCCTCTTTTAAACGAGTTCCCTTCGCGCCGGTTGCATCGGCTCTCTCGCTTCCCGCCAGATCCACCAAGCTGATTTTGCTGACCTGTCAAGCAAAGCAAAATAACGATTCCGATCAAAACTTGAGATTGTTTTCTGATCCAAAATAGAAGCCAATGGAATTGGAACAGGCAATAAATAAGCCGGAAAAGCGAGGCCTCGAAGGGCCTATCATATGAAACGGATGGAATCTAGAACTAGAAAATGCAATGGCAATGGTAACGTAGTTTGATTCTCGGAGAGTTTGTAGACCTAAAACCGTGATTTTTGCCTTCCATGCTAAGCTTATTTTTAGCTTACTAATCCAAACCAGGTACTATAAGCTGGAAGATAGGGTAAGTGATAGTTCAAGTTGATGGCATACAATTTCTGCCTCTTTGAGAGCGTATATGCGCTTCTATAGAAATAGGTTGTATTATAACGAAAATGTTAAGGCCTATGCACTTACTTGACTGTATGAACGTTGTTACTTTTTTTACAGAAAGTTAATATTAACAATTATGGAATTCGCGAAACTACTATTCAGTCTAGGTGACCTATAAAGACTAGGAATATTTGTTTGATCATTGTTTAAACACTGCTCTATTTAATACACATCACTTTAACGCTGGTTTGAATTAGCGTATTTCCGTGTACGACCTTCGAAGATGAAGCTGAATTTGCAGTTAAACAATTTACCAATTATTAATTCCTGCTATCATTAATAACGAACATTCGTCCGTACTTATTAACTGGCTGTGTACCAATTGGCTCTGCTGCATTTTCTATTAATAGGATACTTTTAAACGAGAAGTCGGCAACATCAATGAGCGCCGGGTAAATCGACCGTGAAATCGTCCGTCCGAAGATCAAAGCATAGACTTTGGTCCTGCGAAGCAAAAAGTAACATTCATCCTTGAATTTCTTATACAACTATCCGTCATGAAGATGTATGAGCCTGCCCCCCCCCAACGCTGACATGATCACTCATTCTGCCTGCTCTGTCAACCTGGCCAGTCAATCGATTTTTAGCGCATCGCTGATTACTGGTTCACACTGGACTCGCCTCGCCATTTGTGATGACTGATCTACTAAGCGTGAATTGGCGGTCAAATCAGTCAGTCAATCGATTTTTGCGTACCGCTGATTACTCGTATCTGCCGGATTTGTGGTCAGCGCTGGCAGAAACACACTTCACACTATGCCCATTCAACAGGCAAGGCGGAACTCACTCGACCTTTCGCCCCGGTGCAAGGCGGACGCGAGGCTGCGGCGCTCTCTCTCTCGCTCCTCATGGTCGAACTGCACCCAGGCCGAGTCAGCCCTTCTGTTAATTG